CGTCACGAGCTTTACTAGGTATAGCCGTGCGGCGGAGGCTTTGGGCCGCCGGTTGTTGGCCCTCGTGTCCATGTATTTTGACGATGCTCATCTGACAGACTGGGCGTCCTCTCGGGGCTCCGCCCAGGCTGCTTTCTCGGGCTTGAGCGAGTGCCTTGGTTCCCCCTTCGCCGAAACCAAGCGCCAGCGGATGGCACCTCGGGGTACCTTCTTGGGGCTCGATTTTGATTTCCGGCAGTGCCTTCAGAGCGGCGTTGTTCGTTTCTTTGTTCGGGATCGGTTGGTGGTGAAGGTCCAGGACATGTTGGACCAGGCTGTCGCATCGCGCGTGCTTCTGCCTGGGTTGGCTGCCAAGCTGTACGGTACTTGCAACTTTCTTGAAACAGGCATGTACGGTCGGGTCGGCGCCGGCGGATTACGCGCTATCCGCGAGCGCACAGATGAAGGCGGTCGGGAGTTGACCCCGCCTATTCTCGCCTGCTTCTCCCTCATTCGCGCTGTGTTGTCAGTTAACGGGAGTTCGAGATCCTTCCGCGGGTGTGCCCCCGCTTTCTCGCCGCGAGTGACGCGGCGGAGGATGTGCCAGGCCTAGGCTCGGGCGGCTTTCACCTGATCTGGCTGGACCCAGTGGAAGTTCGGGAGAGCTTTGTGTCTGTCATCGACCCCGCGATCTATGCCTGCTTCTCGGCCGGGATCATAAGATCGCCCAGCTTGAGCTGGCCATGGTCCTTTACGCTTTGGCAGCCCGAGCTCCTGCTTTCCGGGGTCGGCGGGGCTATTGGTATATCGATAACATCGCGGCCTTGATGTCTCTGATCCGTGGCCGCTCCAGTTCTCCCGACTTGGAGCGCTTGGCACAGCTGATCCATATTGCGATGTTTGCCTTGCGCCCTTCTTTCTTCTTCGAGTATATCCCGTCTAAGACGAATTGGGCTGACGCTGTCAGTCGTGTCGGTTTCTCCGACCCGTGGCTCCACCAACAAGGCTTCTCTTGCCATGTTGCTCGTTTTCCTTTCCAGCTCATGGAGCTCCCCTTTCTCGCTGTGCTGCGTGTGTTCGAGTACCTTTGAGGGAGTGCTTTGGGGAATCGAGTGCAGTGGGTGTTGCATCCGAGTTGGATACATCCGAAAGAAGTGGACCTTTTCGGAATGTGTCTGTTCCTCGAGGTTGCTACCAAAGCACTATCCTGATGTCTCAGGTTCTCTACCCTCAGGGTACTCAACAGTGTTCGGCAGCGAGTGCGGTGTTGAAAAAGTGGGAGCATGAGCTGTAGTCATCAATGCAAGCTGGGATGTAT